GAACACCAGATGTAGGTAGCCTCCAAACGATATTTCCCATTATCTATTAAAAGGATTAAGATTCTTTAGAAAAATGGCTGATATGTTAACAGGCAGAAAATATCCATGAACATGGGTCATCTTACTGTGCCAGAAAACAAGAAACTATCAAAGACAAAGGGAGTCGATAAAAGGATATAGGAACCAACTCAGTAATTCCTAATGGCTAAAGGTGGCACAATTTGAACTTGAAAAAAGAATGATTGAAAATGATCATAAATCAAATATATAAAAACCATACTAGTAAAAAATTTCACTGATCACCTTCCAAAGGTGGTAAGAATGACTAAGGTGACTAAGGCACCTTAATTTAAAAAGTGGCAAATAAAAGGCAAGAATTAAGCATTTATCCTGGCTCTCCTGTATGAATTTTATTTCAATGTAACTAAGCAGTTCACGAGGAAAAGTTCTTCATAAAAGAATTCCAGTTACAGATGTAAGGAGAATGAGAAAAATCACCATCTTACAACCTCAAATGAAATAAAAGACCTTGGCAATAATCATACATGACTGTCAAAATCATTAAATGAAAGGGCAATGTGAAAGTTTATAATAGATGGATTAAGCTTTCAACATTTGAACTTATTACTATATAATTTCAGCATCACCGAAAGGATATCAAGTGCCAAAATCAAGCAATAGGAAGGCCATGACACCATTTATGAAACATTCCTGTCAAAGAAACTGAACCTGAATCTACCCATCCCTCTAATCTGTGCTGTCCAAAATGGTAGTTGCTAGCCACATGTGTCAACTTAAATTTGAGTTAAATAAAATTAAAACTTTAGTTTCTCAGCCACATTAGCCACATTCCAAGAATTTGATGCCCACATGTGGCTACTGGCTATCATAATGGAACGCAGATACATAACATTTCCATCATTACAGAAAGGTCTAATACATAACCTTACTTATATAAATCTAACTCCCAGGCTACAGAACAGCAAATTAAATGACATTTGAAGGAAAATCTACCAAATTCAGAATGTGGGACAATCAATAGAAAACTGACTCAGTTTCTTCACCAAATAAATGGCATTATAGTAGAAAGAGCTACAAAATTAAGGTAAAAAGGAAACAATACAAAACAAATAATATGTAGAATTTCTTTGGATCCTTATTTGAATAATTTAATCATAAAAGACATTTCTGAAATTGGAGGAACTTGAACAGATTAGATATGAAAAATTATTAATTTTATTAGGCATGATAGTGGCATTGTGTGTGTGTGTGTGTGTGTATACAAACAGCTCCCATCTTTGTTAGAGATGTATACTGAAATACTGATACTTTAATGTGTGGAATATATCAGAGATTTGCTTCAATGTACTCTGGCAAAAAGCAAAATAAAACCAAAGGAGTTTAAAAAACTGGAGGGTATGGATGAAGATGAAATAAAACTGGTAAAATGCTCACAACTCTTCAGGCTCTATGACTAGAGGGTCATGAAACTTCTCTCCATTTGTCTACATTTTAAATTTTGTGTAAGGCCATTGTCTCCTAAATCTATTCTCTCTTTTGATTATCCTGTCCCTCAGTTTAGATTCCCCAACACAACTATCTCTTAAATCACCTTTAATACCATTTTTCCTCCCTTGTTTTAACCTATTATCTGACCAGTCAGCACCTTGTCTTCATACTCTAGGCCAAATTCTCCATGCTTGTCTATTTCAGGGTCCTTCACCAGATTTTCCTAGATTCTGCATTAACTGCATCTTGCCTACACCACAATAAAAAAGGTAAATTTTCATCTAGAATAAGGAAAAAAAAAAAAACAGACTAGCTTAGGACCAGACTAGCTTCAGAGTGCAGGGAAAAGTCACAGAAGACAAGAAGGGCACAAGTAAAAGCAAAGTCAGAAACCGAGAGACAAAGACACAAATACAACACCCTTCCTCTTCCTCTTAAAGAAATTATGTCAGAACTGCTTAGGCATTTCTACCTTTTAAAAAATATATTTTTTTAGAAAGACAAATTCCATATGATTTCACTTACATGTGGACCCCAAACAAAATAAATGAACAAATATAACAGAAACAGACTCACAGATACAAAGAACAAAACTGGTGGTTGCTAGAAGGCAAGGAGGGGTGGGGGGCTGGATGAAAAAGGTGAAATAATTAAGTAGTACAAATTGGTAGTTACAAAACAATCACTGGGATATGAAGTACAGCACAGGGAATATAGTCAATAATATTGTAATAACTATGTATGGTGCCAGGTGGTGCTAGACTTATATCAGGAGATCGCTTCATAAATTATATAAATATCTAACCACTAGGCTGTACACCTGAAACTAATATTGAATGTCAACTCTAATTGAAAAATAAAAATTAAAAAAAAAGATATGATCAAAATTAAAAATTAAAAACACTCTTAAAAAGCTGTATGACTGGCTCTGAACCATGCTTAGCACAGAATCAAAACACAATGAGACATTTATTAAACACTTTTGCAGTAGGTGCAAACTAGACTATTAACAAAAAACATAAAGTTTACATGTCTGTTCCCATTTAATGAACAATGGAATAAACACTATTGAGTGTGCTGGAATATGCATGTCAACCATTAACCAAAGTGTAGGACACAGGCAAATCTGTGTTGTCTGCAGACTGCTTGTACCTGAATACAGTGATCATAAAACTGAAGATACCTGATTGTGCTCAACTCTTCTTTGCTTCAGTGTTACTGGAGTCTTTGCTCTGCCCTTTAGTGGTTCTCTCTTCTCAAGCTTGAGCTCTATTTTAGAGTCTGGAAATAATATCGGAAAAACTATTACTCTTTGAAAGACACAATGAATTACAATTATCTTAAGATTAGTTGGGATTGCTGGTTTTAGGCACATTAACATGTAAAACAAGTTTGTCTATTGCTATTACCTCTACCTCAACAGACCAAAACTATTTAATTTCAATGTCTAAAAATTTTTCTTTCCCACTTTTATTTCATTCCATTTCTGTTTCTCTCTCCTACTCTTTAATCTGATTGCTACTTCTTCCTATTTCTCCTCCTTGCCTTTTTCTGGGACTAATAGCCTGAAATGAAAGTGCTCCCATGGAGGCCTTTCACTAAAAACAATATAGATGTGAGAAAAGAACATTAAAAAACAAAGTTACCATTCTTTTGTCCATACAGTACAAAGATTAGTTATTAAATTAAAATCTGTAATGTGGAAAGCAAAAAAGCTATAAGGAATTTTATGGGAAAAAAAAACCAAACAAACCCTAAGATACCAAGCCTCTAACAAGTGCAATGATGTTATTATGTAAGTGCAGTTTAAGTCTCTTCCCATTTTTTGATGTAATTATAAAATACCTGGGTACAGTTGACATAAGTAGGAATCTTGTTGGTAGAAAAGTACAACCAATCACAAGCCACTTCTCCTGGTCCCCATAATACAAATAACATTTCTTTGAAGACAAGCTAGTGCATCTATATTACTTAGCATATCACCATGATGGTTATTAACCTAACAACTCAAATATATGTATATATCTTTTTAAAGGCTTCAATATTCCATTCCCCTAGTCTTGATTTCATCACCATTAGAAGAGCTGGATTTATTAAAAGACTGATATAAATTTTAGTTAACTTCCCCATTTCTGTGGCCATTTATTATCACATAGCAAAATTAATGTCAGTTACTTCTGAAACTTGTTACCAAAAACTTCATATTACCTTCTTAACAGAGACAGAAATAGTCAGTTCTTAAACCAAAGCTTAGTTTTGTATGAACTCAATGTAGTTCTATTAAGTAGTAGTCCAAATAGTCAAGTGTTTTTTGCTAACTACCTACTCTAGTACCGGTCAGTCCAGAGTCTACTTGCAAATATCCAAAAACTGAATAGTGATTTTTGCCATGATAGTTCAAAAGGTTCAATCTTTATTTAAGATTAAGGTATCAAATCCACCCCCACTCTCCAATGCTCCCATTAATAGATCTATCAATAAGTCTATGTTTGGGACAATTCTTAGCATTACGTAATTTTAAGCTTTTTCACCTCAAATTCTAAGAATTAGAAAGTGTCCAAAGTAAAGAACCCAATGGTAGTTGAGCAGAAATGTATTCAAACAAAGTATCTGGTTACAGATTAATTCCTCTTACAAATTTTAAAATTCTAACAGCCAATGAAAACATGGTCTTCAAACAGAATAAACCAATAATATTTACAGTATTTTCAACTATACCACTGGAATGTCAAGTGAGTTTCAATGATGAAATGATAAAGAAATGTTCATAAATATCTAACTCGTTGCAACTCCTAAGAATAAAACACACATACAACATGTTTCTGGAGACCACACAGAACTTAGAATTTAACAACTTTATTGAATTTGCAGAAGCATTCTACAGTAATACATTTGAAAATCACATAGCACTTAGTAGGTACATGTATACATGTACATTTCACAAGACAAATAACAAATAAATTTACTCCCAGAAAGCTGCAAAGATGGACATGTATAGTCTAAGGATATGGCTAGAAGTACTCAAAGGACCATATTTTGCTTATACTTAATACTACTTCCATAAATATACAAAGAAATTCAATTATAAAATGCCTCTACAGTTAGACTCTCATCTTACAATCATAGAAATGAAAACTGTTTTATATAGACACACAGACACTGCGATATAGTATGATTTATGACTTTTTAAAAAAAAACTAACTTAAATTTGCTTTTAGAATTTAGATTAAGCCTATGAACTACAACATACCTTGAAAGTGTTACTTAAAAAAAAAATAACCCATCCTTCTAGTGTCTAGGTCATCTGGCAACCTAGTTAGTGATGGTGAGAATGCACTATCCTCGATTATGGTCTAGAGTAGTTTTTCCCAAAGTGTGGTCCACAAACTGTTTCTACCAGTTCATGAAGAAATGAGGCACTTTTTTTCTCTATCAAAATTTTACCGTAAAAATAAACCATCATTGATCTAAAAAGTATCTCTAGATTCAAGTTCTGGTACATGCTTATCTGTGGATCAGTAACAGTTTATAGAGTGGCACTTTGAATGCAATGATCTGGAATATTATGAATGATACTGTACACTTAAGTAAAAAAACAAACAAAAGTGAGAAAATAAAAGAGTAGACAAGTTCTAGAGAGTATAAAGATATGTAGACCAGTGAAGACCCTACTTATATTCTAGTTAATGGGATTTTCTTAGTTTTGAAGAGTTGTAAAATCTTATGTAAAAAAAAAATAAAAATGGGATCTAGAAGCTTTAAATTGTTTGTTTCAGGCTTTCTATCCGTGCAACTTCAAAAAAAAGGGTAGTGCTATATAGGTAATTATTTTAAAATTGTAATTTGATAGGTAGAAGCCCCATCTAGAGACTAAGACAACCTTAAAAGAAAATTCTGGGGAAAAAGTACTTGAAATTCCTAGAAAATCTGCTAAGTTCCCCATATCAGAGTTAAGATAGATGTCCCTCTTTCTAACTTCATTAGTGTTTATTTCCACGCTTTTTAACTACATTGCCTACTTCTCCTCCAAATAATGTTCCACCTTTAAAGGGAATAACAGCCAGCTTATTCTTAGAAGCTGGATTAATTTTGCAATCCTTCAGCCAGAGATAACGACGACCTAAAGTGGAAGATCCCATGATACGGGCAGCCATCTTTACTTCATCAAATGCAGCTTCACAGAGAAATGAGGCTGCATCATATGTTTTGCTCAGAATCCCAAGTGCCTGTTGCATATGACTAGGATCTGAGCTAAGAATTTGTGCAGCCTGACTAATTTCTGCCTGCATAGCCCGAACTACAAAGGCAGTATGGGTTGCAATTTGCAAAGTTGATGCTGCAGCTTCGTATGCTCTACAAAGCGCTAAGTCCAACTGTTTACTGGTGGAAGCTGCCTGAATACCTGATGGGGTAGTGGCTTCAGAAATAAATCCCAGAATTTCATCATCTACTTTTGGAACCGATAATATCTGTGTTGCCTCTTCGGAAGAAACTGGATACTTGCATGCCAATGAAGGCAGTTGCCTGTCAATTTGCTGCCACTCCTCTTCAATTACTTTTGACATAGATTCATGGAAAGGAAAAGATAGTTCTGGGGCATCTATTTTATCATGCTGTGACTGCTTAGACATTTCTATGCCTAAAGTAGCAAGTGAGTGAGAGATAACAGTTTTGGCAAAAGAAGACATCAGGTCAGATCCATGTATATTTTGAAATGCCACTGAGGAACCTGAATCCTTTTCCTCCACTGACTTTTTACTGAGTCTAGGGACTTTTCGTGGAGGAGACAGGGTTTCAGCTTCTTGAAAATGAGATCGATCAATTCTCTTCCATATATTTTCTACATCCAGTGGGGGTGTGGAGTTAGAAGTCCCAGGCAAACTACCTACCCCACCCTGGACCAGCAGAGAATTGACATAATCTCTGATTGCCTGAGCAAGTGGTGGAGAAATTACTTGTGATCTCTCGGACTCTTCTAGTGTTTTCGTTTCACTAAAGAGAACTGACTGATCTGAACCATGGGACCTCTGAGTACGTAATGGTTGAATTCCACTTTTCTCTCCATGGTAAATATTTTCTACTATGTCTTTATAACAAGTAGTGGTGGTTTCTTTTATCAGTGAAGGAGAAGCTGCAGCAGAGACCAACATGGCAGCGAGTTCATGCTGAGAAGATGTCGAAGAACTTTTCTCTAAACATCTATCATGGCTAGACTTGGAGGAAATAAACAAATTCCCTCCAGAGGCTAACTTCTGCATCTGCTGCCCGCTAGGCAAGGTTGTGGCAATAAGAGGTTCCCTAGGTGGGTCTCCCTTAGAAGCATGTACTTTTTTAGCTGCCTGTAGTTCAGTCCTGCCCAAAGGAGGACGGGGGGAGATTTCAGGAAAAGAAATACCCTGAAAAAATCCACCAGAGGGAGTAGTTGGAAGTTCAGAAAAAGGAACAAAATCCCTAGTGGACTTCGCTTTCTTGTGTTCTTTCTTCTTTCCTGTAGAGGCAAAAGAGGCAGGAAGTTTAAGCATTACCTGTGTTTAAGCTAATTTTATTCTTTGCCTCCTTGCTAACATAGTGCTGTTGAAAGAAAAGACTCTATATTTCATATTCTGAACATCCAATATGACAGACTATGCCCTGGCAGGCAATGCTTATGGAAATATAAGCAATTTGGGTCAAATTAAATAATCACGAAATTAATAAACACTTCATATGAATTAAATATTTATAAATATCAACCTTTTTCTTAAAATAAATTTTAAAAGGTCATTTATTCCTGTACAATTTTAAAAAATATTTAAATATCATGGTCTAATTTCTTAAAACAGTCAACTAAAAATGTCAAAATATTTGCTATAAAGATGCCTTGAAATAAGATCATCTAGCAAAACTTGTAAATTTTAATGCCTAACAGAGAAAACATGCCATATGTAAATACGACTGAAATATGTCAACTGTAAAGAATAAAACATACATATAATAAACCAATGAGATTTCAATATAAGAGTAAAGAGAAGTGACAAGGTTTAGCCTGATATCATTTATATAGATCTTTTAAAGTGCAAAATAATACCATGTATTAGATAGATGCATATGAAAAAGTATTAAAAAAATGGATTGGAAAGATAAGCATCAAATTAATAATAGTGGTTGCTTCTATAGAGATGATACTTGGAAAGGCCAAGTGGGGGAACGTGTCTTTATTTGTAACACTTTATTCTCTTTGAAAAAATATAAAGGTACCTGGTAATTTTAGGTGACAGAAAATTAGACATTTGTATTTTTCTTGTTAGAATTCTTAACAAAAGGTATTTAAATCAAATTACTTAGAGGATTACTCTAACAATATGAACAGAAACTACCTATATCTTGGTAATGTAATTTAAATTTTTTTCTTCGTGGTTACTGTATCTCATGAGTCTGAAAAAAAATCACATATATTTAATTAACATCATTTAAAATTTTACCTTCCTCGTTGTCACTATATCTGTCAGAGTCATTACTTCCATTCTGTCTTGTATTTTCTGCTGAAGAAGAAATGGTTGGCAAAGGAGTAGAAGATCTTGATTCTGTTCCTTGTTCTCTCAGTTTCAACAGCTTCTTCTCATATAACTTCCTGGTTGTTCCTATATTAAGGTAGAAATGGTTAATGCATTAGTACTTATATCCTCTTATTTAAAATGCAGCTCAGACATTATCTTTTTTAGCAACATTAAAATGTTACTTTCACCTTTCCTTTCTAAATTTAAGTGTTTAAAATAATATATAACAAATTATTTTATAAAAAGGTGTTTTTCTGGTATTTTAATACATAATTATAACAATGTTTCCTTTATAGCATGGAATACATAGTATATTGATACAGGTCTTAATTAGACCATCTACTGAAGAATTATGTATGACTGAGTATTTCTGAAAAGTTCTAGACTTTGTATATGTTCTCCAGTACTATATAATGGTACTTGCCTTTGTAAAATTGTTTTTATTAACAGATTGATTAGGGTGATCATTTTGCAATGTATGTATATCGAAACATCAAGCTGTACATCATATATACACCTTTTATTTGTCAATTATACCTGAATATAGTTGGGGGAAAAAAATGAATAGCTGGTATACCAACATGTAATTTAATGTATATTGATAATAATTTTCAAAGGGTATCAAATGTCTGCTGGCAATTATATTAATAGGCTTATTATCATCCATTTAGAAGCAGTGTGTTAAATAAAACAAAAGACAACATTCTAAATCCTTTACGACAATACCTATAGGCAAAAACCTTTAATTCTCCAATGTTCGAACTTTTACATAACTTAGAAAATCAATATATATAGACCTTCCTCATCTTGAGGTTATTTATTGCCAAGACCCTCCAAACTTAATTAAGGCGCAATCGGCCTTGCGAAATCACCAAAAGTAACCAAATTGTGCAAATCGAGTGTATTTAAGTTCCAAGTTTCTCTTTTTAGTTTGTTCTTCATGGTATCATTCTTGAATTACAATCAAGACTTTTAAAAAGGTACTTAAAAATTTTATTTATTTAAATTGGTTTCAAGTATACAGTACACTGGTTAGACATCTATATAGCTCATAAAATGATCCCCCCCAATTGCTCCCTCCCTCCCCAGCCCTCCACCTAGCCATCATATTAATGCTAACCGCTTTCCCTCTGCCGTGCTGCCCGTGACCAACTATCAACTAATTTGTACTTTAACCCTTCACCTCATTCTCCCAGCCCCGCAACACTCCTCCCCTCTGTCCGTCACTAAACTGTCCACTATATTTGTGAGTCTGTTTTTGACACATTTGTTCTTGTTACTTAGATTCCATTTATAAGTGAAATCACATGGTATTTATCTTTTTCTTTGACTTATTCCACTCAGCGTAATAACCTCTAGGTCCATCCATGTTGTTACAAATGGTAGGATTTCATTTTAAAAAAAGTACTTTTAATAACGGAAAATGGGTACTATGCTGAAAACTGAGTAACTTGAGTTACAGAAACAAGTCTGTCACTAATTTACTGATTTAAATGAATTCGGCCAGCCATGTTACTTCAGATTTTCCTCAACTGACATATAAGACCCATGAGTGTCTCACCAAGTAGTGTGATATGCACACCATATGAAAACAATCTCGACAACAGGTAATCTAGGAAATTATCTAGTTCAATTCCTTTATTTTAGTTCCCTCATTTATAGTTAAGGAAACAAATATCATTGTCATATAAATGATTAATGAGACTGGCCCTTAGAACCCAAACATAGCTGCTAGACGAGAGGGTACTGCTTCATAGGAAAGACATTTGAGATGTATCAACATACCCACAATCGGACCAGGATTCACTCCATATTTCACAAGCTGATCCAGAAGATCTTCATTAGTGAGCTCTGTTACATCTAGATCATCTTTATCTTCTAGTCTGGGTTTATCAGTTTTCTTTGTGGCTTTCTGTAAACAAAGGCCAGTTATCATTTCCACATGAATAAAAAAAGTTCATTTTACTATATGTTAAACATGGAAATTAACCTTTAAGTTAATTTACAGCTATATCGAGCCTCAGTAATTTGATTAAATTAAAACTCATTGTTTGAAGATATTTTCTAAGTTTGGTTATTATACAAACCCAATAACCAAGCAAGTGACTGAAATTGTAAAGACATTACTGTTAAAATAGTTTTGGTTAACCTAAAGAGGCAATGATGGCATAAAAAATTCAAATGAGCAAAAAGACTGGATTTAACTATTTTCATCCAGATAACTGTAAATACATTTTACTACTGGCCTCTTCTGATGATATTTAAAAGTTTAAATAAATCTAGGAGTTTAAGTTAAGAGTTTATCATAAAGGCTTATACTTAGTTATGTATAAAAATGATTTCCTTTAAACAAGCTCATTGGAATTTAAGCCCAAATGAATATTCTTCTTGTAATACAGTGACTTTAACAGCCAGTTTCTGACCCATGTAGGAAGTCAGGCATGTCACCTCTGATACAGCTTTGTTGCCACACTTAGTTCTCTATGACCACTGCATTAAGAATACAGTGTTCCCCCCTATCTGAGGGGGATATATTCCAAAACCCTCAGTGGATGCCTGAAACTGGGGACAGTACTGAACCCTATACCTACATACCTATGATGAAGTTAAATTTATAAATTAGGCACCACAAGATATTACAATTTTAACAATAGGCTGTAATAAAAGCAATGTCTCCTGGGAAAACTACATAAACTTCCAAAATTAAACAGGAGAAGAGAGCAAATGTATGGGTAACTTTTAAGAGTTGTGGCAAATAGCCCTACAAATGCCTCCATAATCCCAGAAAGTATCAGAGCGCCAAACATAAATGGTTGCTTAAATAATAGCCACAAATATCAAAGTCAATTTAGGTCCAAATTACTGTTTAAGTCAGAAGAGTCAATACTAAAAATTTTATGCACAAATGGCAAAAATAAAAGTATATGGGCTGCTTACTTTCTAATGATGCTGAGGGGGAAAATCAGGCATTATTTGGCCATGGATTAGAATTGTTCTTTAATAATATTTCTTCAAAATAAACATTTGCAATACTTCATAAGACAAGATTATGAGAAATTATTTTTTAAGGATAGCTGCTAATAAGAACAATGTTAATTTAAGAGACATCTTTAATAAAAAACACGGCTGTGAAAAGTTAGGGTACTTTCAGAAGGCTTTAACATAAATATTGCAGTATCCTAGGATCATCAGGCTCAAATACTGAAGGAACCCACACGGCGATATCAAAATAGTTGCCTAGAGTCTAAGGGTTCGATATACCAAAGACTTGAATTCTTTAGAGAAAAGACATTTTTTAATCAAACAGACTTAATCTCATGTTAGTGACCGACTTGAATTTTCCAAAGCTTAGGAACAGGTTGAAAAGAAAAACTCCACTGCATAACAAATACTTTAAATAAAAGAAAATCAATCAGATACAGATTACTTGTAGACTATCCCTCCCACCATAAGAATGTTCAAATTCTACTATCAACAAACATCCAGGAATTTCAACTTCTTGCAACAGCCTGAGGTTTTCAAGAAATCTTTCTTTGGCACTCACCACATTCAACCTACTTTTTATTAGTTACGTGTATAAATGCTTCTTTATCCTCTCTAGATGGTGAACTCCTTGAGCAATAGTCCCTAAGTCTGATGTTATCAAAACCTCAAAACTTTTGGAAAAGTTACCTCTATTTTACAACATCTTATCCCGTTCTGAGTCCCAATCTTAGGCCTGAGAATCTGTATTTTAATGTGTAAAGTTTAATTTTGGATGTAGTGTTAAAGGAGGTAGCAGAAAGCAAGAGCCTTTGTCATACTCATTATTTGCATCTCAAGCATCTAAAATAAAAGTGCATGACACAGGAACAGGCACCTGATGTTTTGTTGAATGAATGAATGAATGAAAGCAACATCTCAAGAGGAAAAAGTCATTTATTTTTTAAAATCCATTTCTTATTAAGAAATAAGGCTTATCAAATTGAAGCAGAAAACCAACTTCCTTATATTTTCCTAAAACATAATGAAAAACTACAGCTGTACAAAGAAATTTTATGAGGTCAATAAATTGTAACAAGCTAAGTCAAATACAGCAGGAGTTTATAACAAGCTACTTGATTTTTATTATTAATTTATAGGGAGAAAAGTTCCAGAAAAGTAATGCCATTTTATGAAATACCAAATTCAATAAGAATAAAAATTGGGAGACAGTGTGGTATAAATAATTATCAAGCCAGCAATTTCAGTAAGGAGGGAACCATTAGTTGTACAGATTTCTGCCTCTAGAAAGCTTTGTTCCTTTAAGTAAATCATGTGACCTCTAAGTTTCATTCAGTCAAAAATGCTCAGTACCTACTATGTGCCAGGTACTGTTCTCCAGTTTATTCCCAACTACGAGATGATCTAATATCTTTTTCGACTTTAAAATCCAACAGTTGTATATCACCTATGTGCTACTCTTATTTTTGAATCTCCACCATTAGCATCAAAGATGTTGAAGTATAACAATAATTATTGTTATAAAATAGATTCCGGCGAGTACTTACTATGTACCAAGTAGTATTCTAAGTCTCTTATGTGTCTTAATGAATTCTAAAAATGCTGTGAGATACTAATAGCTCCATTTTACAAGAGAGGTAACTGAAGTCAAAAATTGCACAGCTAACTCAGGCAATCTGTATACTATGCTATATAATAACATTTGAACAGACTTTATGTACACATCACTTTCACAAACTTACCTCAATTCTGAAGAATGTATCACAGTTAACACTGTACTGTTTTGGCACTGAATAAAAACAAAAAACTAGACACAAATGCAACCTATTGTCACCCTCAATCTAATTAAGTAGGTATTAGATTATTCCTATTTCAGATGAAAACTGAGCATCTGATAGACACTTCATTTTTCAAGGTCAATAAGTGGCAGACCTGGAATTTGAATCTACGATCCCAATTCAGCCTGCACACTTAACACCTTACTGTGGAGTACGATGGCCAATTTATGATTTAATTAACATTTACCATTTTTAATATACTTTTTCTGTTTTGTTCCATGTCTTTAAATATTTCCTGTTAAGAATTCATAATCCACCAGATCAGACCATTCAAGAATGTTATGCTCCACTGGATTCCAAATAGCTACGCTGCTTGGCACCTTAGAAGGAAAAGGCAGGTTGCCAACTCTGTAAATGTTTATTTTTGTGTCAACAATCTAGATAATCTCAACACCTAAAAATATTGGTATCACAAAGATGCATAAAACAAAAAGCTTAGAAATAAGAAAACTAAAAACCAAAACCAAATTTTGGATATGCAAAACATCTGTCATATTACACCAGATAAATCTAAGAGACCATGACGATGACTGAAATGGAACAATTTCACCTTTAATTAAAAATATCGTCTACAGCCTTGCCATCCTGAACAAGCCCAATCTTGTCTGATCTTGGAAGCTAAGCACGGTCGGGCCTGGATAGTACTTGGATGGGAGACCACCTAGGAAGACCAAGTGCTATAGGCGTAAAAAAAAGAATAATAATAAATAAGTAAGAGATTGTAAGCTGATAAGGTCAACCAAGGGTTGCCTTGCCTAAAAAAAAAAAAAAAATAGTGTCGAAAAAAAAAATCCTCATAAAACCCATGTCTAAATAGAAGGTAAATACTATGCCTTTGGCCAAAGCCACATTAATGCTTGATTTATTTTAAAATGTCAAAAATTCACCACCTAAGAAAATCTGCCTTATCTTCAAATTTAAAACAATTTGGCTTTCTCTTAGATTACAAATGTTCTTTAAGAAACGTGAGTCTATATTATTATTATATATGGGGCTAACAATGACAAGAACATAAAATATATACATAAAAGGAATGTTCCATAGAGAACCTTATTATTATAAACAACCTAAGGTTCTTTTCCTGTAAATTTCAAGATATTTTCCTATGCCTGATAAAAGACCTATCAGACTGTTAGTTTACAACTTTTACATAATGTATTTTAAACAGAAAATGATGCTACTGACCAACTTACCATTATTAACTTTTTCAAGTTGTTGACACCACCGAGTCTACCCAAGGGTATATATTTTTGAGTTTTAAATACTGAAAGTTGAAAGACATCTACGGCAATGAAATAGTTTTTCTCTACATGTATCAAAATGTTAAATGAGCTATTAAGGGCTTAACATGCCACTGGACATAGTAGGTTCTCTTAAAATGTTAATTCCTTTCACCCAGAGCTTATTTGCATAGCGCTGACCAACCTGGACAACATGAGAGATTAGTTGATATGATGAATAAATAACAAATGTGATCAATTATCATACAAAAAATCCATTATATTATTATTGTGCTGGGTGGGGTCTGCAGAAATCCATCTCCAATAGTTAAGAGCACAATGGTAGATGTGAAAAAACGCCGGATAACTGAACTGAAATTAAAAATGTTTACACTCAGGCCTTCTTGCAATCCAAAGAACAAAGGGTAGGCTGGGACATACTCTCTCTTAAAAAGTTGCTGCCACAAAACATCAAAACCAAGATAATTGTTTCTATGGAAAACTAATCAACATGTAAGAATTAATAATCCTATTATATAAATACAACCAAATACTTTCATGGCTCAAGAATAATACATTTGCGCAGAAGGCAAATATAGGGATCTAGGGAAGACCTGTTTTTTTTTTTAAGTGTGTTAATTTAAATGAGATATATTTCATTTTTAACCGAATCTTTACTATAATAGTTTGAATATTACTTTCTTTTTCAGAGGGGTTGGGATAAAACAGATAAGGGATATGCTTTATTTCAAAAGTAAATTCAACATGCGAGTCAACTAGGTTTCTTCAAATCCACAAATACATGACATCAGAAACAATAACATGCGATAGCCTTTTATTTATTGAATAAATATTTATTTGGCACTACTATGTGCCAGGTACCTACTTAAGACCTAAGATTTTCAATTCTCTAAAGACCAGGGTAAGATTTAATTACACTTACATGTATGTACTATATTTTTGCTTTCAATTCCACGGGGTAGTCCAGAAAGCACATCAGATAGATTTGTAAAAACTAAAGTTAAACAACATAACTTTAAAATAAGCAGTACTTTTGTTTTTGAGTTATACTAGTAATCACTAGCAACAATTCCAAACTCCACATCCAATGTTTTACGAACCATTATACTATTACACCAATCACTACTTTGAACCACATTCTGTTAGGATTTGAAGTCTGGTAACTAGGCAGATTCATAACAAAATAGCATACAGAAACCCAAAGAACAAAAACCAAACTATTCTAAAAAAAAAAAAATATATATGCATTTGCTGAAGCCAATCTGAGATTTCCCCGAGATCAGATAGTCCAAATTGCGGTACTGACATATCAGAATGTCAGGAAATAAACACTTCTCTTAATTCGGAAGTCTCTTTTCCTCATGAAAAATTTACCCAACAGGAAAAAAAAAGTCCCAAAACCTAAGCTCTTAGTAACTAGAATTTTTCAAGTATTTGAGCGTCTATCACCGCTTAATGATGTATTTTTAAATGCTCATTTTAGAGTAAGGCTGCCCCGTCAAAAGATGGCCTGTTGCTGTAAGAGTAACACAAACAAGAAAAACGGTTCAAAAAGCCCTCTAGATGCAAAAACATAAAAAGGCGGGAATTGATTTCAAATTTTGGTTAGAAATTAATATGCACAAATTGCCCTCCAGAGAGCGCTCTGAGACTCGGTTGCTGCTAGTCATTTCAGTCAAGAAAGCGGGAAAACGCTCGAACGTAACCTATAGCAGTTTCGGGCTGACCCCCTCCTTAAGCGCTTTTGAAAAGGACACGGAAGTCCCAGGCTGAACACCCACTCTCGGCGGCCGGTGGTCAAGACCACAGAAGCACCCGCGCGCGCCCGCCACCCACGCGCGACCTCAGCGCCCACGCCAACTTCACACGTCCCAGACACGCGCGGCAGAAACGCCAGCCTCGCAGCCCCAACTTCGCGACTCTCTTCTCCAGCGCCCTCCCCTTCAACAGCCTGCGAGCCCGCGGCGAAGGGCCCAAATCCAGCGTCCGCACACCCAGAGGCCAGCCTCCTAGACAGGCGCGGGGACAGCCCGGCGGCCGAGGAGGCCCGAGGGGGCGCCAAGGAGGGAGGACGGCGAGCGCGCGGGGAGCGACAACCGCCAAGCGCCCGCCTTTGTGGTCCCGGCCGGGAGTCCTTACCCTGCCGACGGTGGCTCGGCTGCGGCCCGCGGCGGCGGCCCCAGAGCCGAGGACCGGGGTCGGCTCGCGCTCCTCGTCGCTGGAGAAGTCCGGGGGCCCCTTGCTGTTGGCGCCGGCGGCGAGCGGCGGCCGGTTGCGCGCCGTAAGGTGCTGCAGGTAGAGCTGCACGTACACGTCTTTTCGCTGCTCCCCGGCCGGGAGCGTCACATTGTTGGCCACCAACTCACTCTTCAACTTCTCTTTCGTCAGGACCGAGGGGTCCTCCAGGAACTCCGGCATCTCGGCGACGTCTCTTCCCCGCAGCCCTCGCACCCGGCGCGCTCACTCTTTGCCCGGTGGGGGCGCCGCGCTGCCGCCTCCGAGCCTCCCGACTCCCGCCCGGGAGCAACACCGCGGAGCAAAAAAAAAAAAAGAAGAAAAAACTCGCACACACAAAGCAAAGGCCGGACACAAAAGCCCCAGAGCAGAACTGTGGGCCAAGTGCAGCCAAGATAGGAGCTCACACCAACCCCAGCCCACACACTACAGCCGAGGAGGGCACCCTGCTTCGCCCACGCCCCAAGATCGCGCGCCGCCATTGGCGGGCGGCGGCAGGAAGCGCGCCGGCGATTGGCGGGACGCCTCGCGCGGGTTCCATTAGCCGCGGCGCCCTGCGAGAGGGTGTAGAAACGCAGTTTAAAAGGCGCTCGGGCGGGAGTCGGGGTGCCGGGCCCGTGTCTGTTTCCCTCTTCTCCACCCTTCCCCTTAGATACTGATAAGGGACAAGTCGTACTGCTTTTGTGCGCCGTTTCCTCTCCCTCCCCTACAAGAGATGAAGCCTTCCTCCCCGGGGTCGGTCGCCTACGGACCGGGCGTGTTGCAAGCCAGCTGCCAGGATCGGGGCTGGGCCTTTATCAATCTCGGGACACTGATCCACCGAAGAATAGCTGCAGCCTTTCCTTCCCTAATAACAGCCCTGAAAGGAAAGGAGAGAAGCGAGGCGTGTTTGTAGGCGCTTATTTTCCTAGATTTGATTTACTTACCGGGGAGGGAGGGGGACTGCTCGCAGTTAAATCCCCATCTCGCTTGCGAACGCTCCTTTTGTTTCCGAAATTCAGGAAAAGCCAGACCTCGACTACTGGGCGCTTTAAACTGCCGTTGAATTTGTGACAAAATTGTACTGTCAAATATTCCATTTACTTTTGACCTTAAAGGTTGGGGAATTTCTAAATTATTTTATTTGAACAGTTAGTTGGAGCTTAACTGCGTTTTTGTTCAGAGCTGTCTCTGGGTTAGATCCCTCCACCTGTAAGTATCTTACTATAACTTAACCAGACCTAATGTTTAATAATACAACAGAATGAAAGGAAACATTTAGGAATGCCAGATGGGCAACTTAAGATAACTGAGATAGGTACATACTAGATTTTAATAATACAGAAAGCCTAGTGACATAATTAGGCCAGGAACTCTCATCAAACCCATATTACTGATTCAAATTAAAAGCTGGTAGGGTTCCAGAAATTTGCTACGTAAACCGTCTTCCTGAAAACAAACACGACTGATGACAATACATTCGTATTTCTTACTAATTTATATATGTTTTCTTCCAAGAAAGGAAAGAAGCCGATCTTGGACTTAGGATGTCTTAATCATTTCTCCAGATTCTTACCTCCAAACTAAACTTTATAAGCTGCTTAAAATAATTTTTCAAATATTTATGTGATTTCTGCATGGTTAAGTTCAAGAAAATTTAAAACAAACGCCATTACTAATAACGTTTCCTATGAATTAAACTATTTTATTTTGTTCAGATTGAGGAAACATACTTCTTTTAACGATGCAATGTTTTCCTAGAGGCAATTTTGTATATTTTATAGAAATCTCAGTATTTACATATATTTAAGCAATAGTATTAAGCTCCATAATACAAATTAAAAATTGTATTTTAATTAACGACTTGTTTTATAGATTTTCAGGATGTCTTATAATAAAAGTTACTTCATCTCCATCCCTCCCACCCCCAACCCCCAACTTAGCTGAACACATAGGAAAGTATATTTATCTTCAGAGGAGGAACTGAGCTGACTGGCAAAGGACCATGATTTTGCAGTGCGTAGTAACCCCCACAAATGTAATTAATGCATGTGAGATGGTCCCAATCTGCAGTGTGCCACAGCTCAGTTATTTCTTCCAGAATAGTCTAAGATTATAATAGGCAGAGCAACAAAGTCCTGAGTTTAATCTCTGCAACTTATCCTATTAAATCGTTGCCTTGATAGTTGAAGAGTTTTGCTCTGGCTTAACTGTACTAATAGTTTTTCTCTGAAAAGGGTTAGAGTTACCAGGGCTAGATTTGATCTGGAAGGGTCTCCAGGCTCTGACAGCTGCCCTATGGTCTGAGGATACCTGGGCAACTAGGTCCCTGAAGTGGATCTTTAGATCAGGTGGCATCAACTGACACCTGAAGATAATATTCTTCTATCTTAATTTGATGTGAATAGAGTACAATGCAGGAGTCACAGAACCACCAAAGACAGTCACCCAAAGATGCTGCATGGGATCACTTTTTTCATAAGGCTTTTGCACCAGAAATTTTTCCCGGCAGTGTAATCCTTAGAGACAATACTTCCTACTACTTTTACCACAGCAAAAAAAAAAAAAAAAAAGAAAAGAAAAGGAAAAGAAAAATCACCTGTTGTGTCTGAAAGTTGTTTTAAATAGATACACTACTACTAGCCTTACAGGCCAGCATTAAAGATAGTTCGCGAAGAACTGCATTCTAGATGCTCGAAATGTCCCCTGGGCAAAAATATCATTTTCATTCCCTTTCTTTACTTAGCTCTCCTTTTCTTATCCCAGGACATTATCAATAGGAGGTTACTTGCAGATTACACATTTCTTAGGAGACATAGTTGATGTCATAAGCTATCAGACAGTGAGATTGAATCTCTGCTTCATCCACAAAGTCATAAATTATCAAATTCAGACTTGATATCATCCTAGATGCACCCAGGTATATCCTTAGCACCACTGTTTTTAGCGATAAAGGTAATTTTTGCTTTTGACCCTGCTGTAGAGCTCCAAAGTAGAAGCTATTTTTTTGTCATATTCGATGTACCTTAAGGCCAAGAAGTTTGGTCTACAGAGTTAGGGTGTCCTCTTTGTTCCTGATTACTACTTTCAAACTATTTCTTTTCTTTCCTTATTCAAAACCATTTAAAGTTCATATCATCTGACTAAATCACAATCTACCATATTTACTACAATTATTTATCAGCCACTATCCCTCAGAAGATATATAGACTGCTGCTTCTTGCTAGAGGTTTTCCTCGCCAACCCTCTTGTCTACATTCTGTGTGAATTCAACGTTCTTACAGATGACCCATGCTAAACTAACACTTGACCTCTTAGACCTTTGACCTCTTCATCTCCAAGAACTTTTTTCTCTATCCCATCTCATCCAACCACACCAGTGGTAATATTCTGAACCTTGTCATCAATAACTGTTTTATCTTCTAAATCTCAATTTCAAGCATCCCAATGTCAACTACTAGCCTTCTTCCTTCAGCTCATTTTTGTACTCCTACTGAGCTAATTGAGACCTCCAATCCATTAACTCCAACACTAAAAAAGTATATTATCCGGCTTTTGCCATCATGTAATCATTTCTAACTCACTCGACTTAAATTCCCTGATCAATTCTTGTAATGACTCTTTTGCAGAGAGGTTCAACTCTTTTACCCCAATGTCTGTCTTCTTTCCTTGGAAGAACCTTGACCTTGCTTGGACCAAATACTGCCGGAACAAACTTTCTCATTGCTTGCAGCCAAGTAGCAAATATTACTGGAGAAAAATCATACAACAGGCCTGACCGGTTTTAATATATGACCTCAACACTAACTGGAAAAGCTATTCATCCTCTGGATTATTCACACCTTCACTTCTCTATAAATCACTCATATTCCTTTCACCATCTCTCCCCATTTTCAGCTGGTGACCTTGCCTCATACTTGAGGAAATAGAAACCATCTGTGGGCAGTGCCTCCACTTCATGGTTAAAGCTGTACCCATTTTCTCTTGCATCTTTTGAATGGAACAGGTATCCTATCAGAGCAAATTCCGTCACTTGTTCTCTGGCCGTCATCCTTTCTTTCTCAAGGAGCCGATTCTTTCAGTCATTTCCTGAGATTTCCGAATTAAAAAAAAAAAGATTTTTTTTATTTGTGTTGCATTTGTCTAATATAAACAATATTTTTATCCTTCATGTTGAAACAGGTATTAGGGTTTTTTAAAGAAAATTTTAAATGTTATAGGATCGATACCTAAAACCGTGAGAAACAGTGGAAAGATATTTCTACATGAAGCCTCAGCTTTAAACAAAACAAAGCAAAACAAAACTGATACAATTACTTGGTCAGAAAACTCTTCCAAAACCCTTTTTTCCCCTAAATCACTTGGATAATGGCTGCCTTTTTCCCTTTTTGAAGTTCTTAATGTTTTTAGCATACAGCTGACTGTTTTGTTTTTCATTATTGAAACATTACATATAAAATATTTTTGTTTTGCATAGGACTTGGTTTTGAATTTAAGGGTGCGCCACTTCAAAACAGAGCAGATGACGAAATACTACATGGTCATAAAAATCATGTTCATGAAATTTAATAATATGAAAGAATGTTCATAATATGGCATTAAGTAAAATCAGAAAAAATACAGAACTGTATTAGGATAAGATCTCAGTTCGATAAATAACTAAAGTGTATATGGATATGTGTTTAAAATATATACAAAGAAAAATGACTAAATAAAGGCCAAAACGTTTGTAGTAATTTCTTCTAGGTAGTGGGGCACAGGTGGTTTTTATTTTCTTATGTTATTCTATATTTCTTAAGATTTATACAGTGAACACATATGATTTTATAACCATAACTACTTTTTAATTAGTTTGAGAAATCAGGGAATCACTTGCCTTATCTGAATTCAGAGTCTGTCCGTTTTATACTTCCAAGGCTCCATTTTATCAGTTCATCCATAATTCATCTGTCTTAGGTAAAGTCATTAAAAATAATCTTAAAAGTAAATCTAGCTTATTAAATAGTTAAGGTAAATGCTCAGAGCATTTTTACTAGTGGATACATCCACTTGGAAGAATAAATGATAGACTGAAAAATTTGGGGTGAAATAGAACAAAATCAGAGTGCTGTTGTCAGGATTTGGTAATTTAAGCATGGACCTATCTATTCCAGAGCCTCTTTCCTCACATCATTCCTATATAATGATTGTAGAAGTTTAAGTTTAATATAAAGTATTGGATTAATATGAAGTATTAGGTCATTTCAAAATTATAGCAAGTCAGTAAATGGATCATTCTAAGAAACTTCAGATGTCCCAGCTTTGGAGAAGTTGGAACATAATGGCATGCATATATAATATTGTTTTACAACTTAGAAAACATTTTTATGTATTTTATTTGATTCTTATACAATCCTGCGGGTTAACTGGGACCTCCAGTCTGGCCTTGCCGTATATAGACCAGTGGTTCTCAAACATTAGCTTGCATCAGAATCACCTGGGAGACCTGGTTAA